CAAAGGGGGGCAGGGCCGCCCATGCAGGGGGGTCTTTGGTATGGCAACACAGGATTGACTAATTGCCAGAGGCGGTGTGACATTCCAAGGTGCAATATTCAAAGGCTGGGCTATCTAGGGGGGGAGGATCAGGAAGGGGAAGAGGCAGGAAGACAGGAGATGCTAAACCCCAGGTTAATCTTATCTTCTGGCCAAGCCCTCAGGGCACCACACAACCTCTGCTAGAAGGAACTTAATTCTATTTCCTTAACACTGAGTTGCTTGCCTCAACTCTGCTAGCTCCCAACATCTCCTCCCTTTGTCTTAATTGAAGGTGGGCCTTAACCGATTGGGGGAGTAGTGACCTGGTTCCTCCCGTGGGCTTCCCAGGCCCACCAGTGTTAGTGGCTCTTGGTATCTTTTGGGGAGGAGAGGCAGAGCCGATTGGATTTGTATTGATACCAACCTCTATGCAAACCAGGTATGCTCACAGGGAAATCCAGAGGGGGTCGAAATTTTCCCGTGACCTTCCCTTGGGAAGAGGGGGTCGGAAAATTTTTTGGACCTTCCCTTGCAATGCTTTGCTCTGCACCCATATCGGTACCCATACCTTTCTCCTTAGTGGGGAGTAGGTAAGCATTCCTCTGGTCATCATGCTGTCCCCGCAGGGAGGGAGCGATGGTAAAGTTCATAATCTTGCTCATGATCAGCTACGGCTAAACGGTGGTAATGTACCTGGATGGGTTTGGCCAAGATGCTGTCAATGTGTTGTTTTACAAAATCTGTTAACCTCCGAAAAGCCCAGGGGCCAAAGGATAGGATTAATAAGAAACCTATGAGGGGGCCCAGGATGGGGAGAAGGTAGGGGAGAAGTCCGTTTAGTCCGCTCCAGAGAGAGTTCTCGAACAGTTCTTTCCGCCGCTTTCTTGTCTCGGTCGATTCCGGACTTGTTGGCGTAGAAACAGCAACGTTCCTGTAGGACTAAGCATATCCCTCCCTGCTCTGCTCTGAGTAAGTCTAACCTTCTCCTATTTTGTAGAACAACTTCAGCTAAGGAGTAAATTTGATCTTGGAGATCATTAATGATACTAGAGAGAGCTAGGACATCATTGATTACTTGATTAGATAACTTAGTATAAGAATGTACAGCCACTCCTAGCCCCGCATTATTACTGAATCTGATAAAACTCTTTTCTGGTTTATGCTTCCTTCCACCTAGCTGACTCGGTGGAGGCTATTGTACAGGAGGCCTGATGCCTTTGCCTGCTGTACGATCTGCATCACAATTTAAAAATTTTTAAAGTATAAAAAGTATGACTGAGCCTCTCTTGAGGTGACACATAATATCTGTCTCCTTTTTTGTTTTTAAAGTGATCTTAAGCATACTAATGGCTCTTTCTACCACTGAGTGACATTTATTTTGCCAGATTTGATTAGGGTTAAGTCCTCGGGGATTTATCCCTAAAGTTGGTATAGGAAGTTGGATAATATACTGAGGACATTGTTTCTAATAAAATATGGAAATTGCCATTCTCAAATAATATTTTAGAGACTGAAAGTTAAATGAAAAGTTCCAATAATTTTTGCTATATTTACCATATAAGTACTATTACTATAGACTGATGGGCTCTGTAAAGTAAAATCCGTTAAGGCATAAATAAGAGCTTGTATTTCTATTGAAGTATAAGAGGTTTGAAGGACTTTTGCTCCTCTGCTGTAGTATATCTAGCCTTTCTAGAACTGGATCTATCTGTAAAAATGGTTAATACCTGAGATAAAAAATTTCTTTTACTGTGGTAGTTAATACTATTCTCTGTGTTAGATTAGTAAATTAAGCCCCTAAGCTAGGGTTCCTGGTAGAATATAAAATATTAAGTATTTTGACTTCTATGTAGAAGGGTGTGTACACCGATCTTCCTTGCCTTTGGTCCTGGGCAACCTGTAGCAATGCACAGGTGCTGACTGCTATCATGGTAAGGTATCTTTACTTTAAAGATAAAGCAAATTTACTTTTGAATTCATAAGCCACAAATGTTGCCTTGCCTTTAGCTTAATTAAAATGTAGGCGGCCATATACAGTTAGGATTCAATTATTTATAAAACATTGGCTTCTCATGTAACTTAATTTATATGACATTGATTATATTGTAAAAGCTAATTTATAAAGTAACTTAAGTAGGTATTTTTAGTTTAAAAAAATAATGGCAAAGATTTTATTGGTCTGATCCAAAGGCATGGCTTTTGTCTTTAAGGCTTTCCATGCAATTTTAAGTATTAGATCTGTTTTAAAAAGTAAGGCATTGAAATTTTAACATGGAAAAAAAAAACATCAAACAAATATCTATATATGATTTAAATATTTTAATACCTACTATTATCTTAAGACAATTAGATTTAGACTAGTTTTTGTATAGAAAAAATTTTTGGTGGAGATCACAGAATTAATTCTCTTTTTAATTAGATCAATAATAAGCAACTTATTTTGATTTCCTAATTATTAGAGGAAATGTTTTTATTTTCTTAAAAATAAGTTTTTATGCTTCAAGTACCTAATCACTACAACTCTACAATTTCTCCTAATTTAATTTGAACTTTGAATTTATAAAACTGGCAAGTCAAATATATTTTAGTAGTTCTTAGATTAATAATACTTTCATGTTAATCAGCTTAACAATAACCCACAAACTTCGGACCAACTAACACTTTACATTCCTAAGAAAAATACAAGACATCAATTCTGTCCTCTAGGTTTGTTATGAGGCAAATTTGAACTTTAATTTTTATTTGCCAGTGGCTCTGGAACACATTCTTTAAGATGGCTACTGGCAGGACACTATCTTAACTGTCTGCTGGGGGAAGGGCCTTTACCCTTTCTTCCCTCAACAAAGGATGTAGCCAGTTATCTGGACTACTTAGATCTTTAAAGTATTTACTTTGGATAAATTCTATGACAGAGACAAATTTACTTATTTTCTTGAAGGCCTTAAAAGTTAACTTTTTAAAAAGGCTCACTAGCATTTTGAAAACTATTTCTTATTATGGAAATGCACATCTTGTTGCTGGAATTAGCTTGAATTTCTTTCAAGAAGATTTTTTTGCTGTTTTTCTCAGGAAAAAGAATCAGTTCTGGGTTTTTCATTTCTGTAGCTCTTGTAAAGAGTTAAGGCCAGTTCAAGACTTATCTAATATCCAAAATCGGACGTGCGCGCATTTAGTCTTACACTAGCTTACTCCTTACACGTGCACAGATATCCCAGACTCATTTCTAAATTTTTAAAACTTTTTTATGGCGAGAAAGGAAATTTTTAATTTAATATACTAGGAGAGCGGGCTTCTATATTGGATCGCCCCATGTCTCTCCCTCCCCCCATATTCTGCTTACTTCAGGGGAAGCATCAGCAACAGATCTGGCTGAATTTCTTTTCATGCTTAAAAGATAGACAGATCTCAATTTCTTTCTTCCTTTTTGGCTTTCTGAAATAATAATTAATACCCAATTTGGTCAAGATGTGCATTTCCCTGTGAGTTTTCTTATAATTTTTAAACAAGGCGGTAGTTTCAGCAGTGGAGTTCCACTTATTACAGATTTTAAATTCCATACATATACTAAGATTCTAATTTCAACAAGAAACAACATTATTTTGTGATCACATAAACTTCAACATTCTCTCTAAAGAGCACTTTCATTTCTAAGATTCTTTTTTTCTAGCCTTAATTCCTCGTGCCTGAGGGGACTCCCTGAGCCCTTTTTCTAAGATTCTTTTTTCTTAACCCTTACTCCTCGCGTTCTGAGGGAAATCTTGACACCGTCAAGGAACATTTCATGACAACTCAAATTCCCCATTATCGGTCGATTGGATGGCTCTCTAAGAGGTTCCTTCTCCACGTAAGCCTCCAGGACGTATAAACCCCGTGCCAGGTCAGCTTGAATTTTCTCGTCAACCCAGGAATTCAGGCGGAATTACTCTCTTTTCGACTCTACCCTTTACTCCCTTGCTTGCGTGAAACGGTCGGTAGGTATAATCCGCCTACACGGATCCTTACAGACAGGGAGACCCCGTTTGCCCTCCTCAGGCGCGCAGGTCTCCCGTGGTTGAGTCTGAAAGGTGAACGACTTTTTGTTCAAAGCAAGCTCAAGGTTTTAAGAGTAGATCTAATTGGAGAGGATTCTCGCCAAGAAAACCGGGAGGCGGTACTAGTTCAAGTGAATCGGAGTTCTCACAGCCAAAGACGGGTACCTTTCACTCTTCCCCGGATCGGCAAGTGAGTGCTTATTAGTGTGCAGGAAGAAACCAACCAAGAGAACCAATAATAACAATCGAGCAAAAAAAAGGGGTGAAATGTTCTGAAATCTTGTTTGAAAAGTCATCTACCTACCTTTACTCCGATCTGTCTCACGGCGGGCGGACCGTGGCGATCCAGTGCTGAGTCTTCACTCGCGGGTCCTCGCGGCGACTCTGGGGGTGCCTGGCCAGGGCTTCTCCGGTAGACGTTCTCGCTAGAGATTCTCAGAAGTACCCCGAGTTGGGCGCCATTTTGTCCCGACCCGCGGGACAACAACGGGGGCACGCAGGAACCACCTAAGAGAATGAATCAAACAAGGAACGCGAAAGAATGGAGGCAAGACAAGGTTCTGATCAAGCCTCAGTTTTATTCTCTGAAATGGCTGTATTTATACAGCAGAGACAAAGGGGGGCAGGGCCGCCCATGCAGGGGGGTCTTTGGTATGGCAACACAGGATTGACTAATTGCCAGAGGCGGTGTGACATTCCAAGGTGCAATATTCAAAGGCTGGGCTATCTAGGGGGGGAGGATCAGGAAGGGGAAGAGGCAGGAAGACAGGAGATGCTAAACCCCAGGTTAATCTTATCTTCTGGCCAAGCCCTCAGGGCACCACACAACCTCTGCTAGAAGGAACTTAATTCTATTTCCTTAACACTGAGTTGCTTGCCTCAACTCTGCTAGCTCCCAACAGGGGGAAGTATCATTTTAAAAGCTAAGGTCTGGGTGGCTTCTGGAAACAGTCCCATCTGGGTGTGAAGGTGTCTCCACAGTTCGTACCTTTTTATTTCTGGCCCGTTTCACACTCAGACCTCATCTATGGCTGTTGCTGGTTAGTGAGTGAGGCCTGGAGTGTCAGTGTGCTTGCCAATAGGCACACAGAGCCTTCTCTGAGAAGGCGGAGACATGTAGTTGGGTTGCCCGGGGACTGGGCTCTCTGCTCCAGCTTCCCTCACTTAGTGTTATGCTCAGCCTAACCCTTACTGTTATGCTCAGTTCCATCAGGGAAACCAGGAGCCCACACACTGGACATGAGGCTTTTGTTAGCTTCTTTCTCCAACCTGTCCATTTGGCTCTGGGCTTGATGAATTATGACTGAGAACGGCTGCTTCTCTGTTGTGCAGAACAGGTGATGCTCCTGTTTGCCAAAAGATGCTCTTCCTAAAGCAAATGCCCCTTCCGCCCCTCACTCAATGCCCTGGGGAGAGGACATAGCAAACTCTTATCTGGTGCTGCCAGAGAAAACCAGTTCTCAAAGGCTCTGCTTTCCATGTTGACTGAGTCCTCTGCTGCAGCTCTTTGTGAAATTTCTATGGGAAATTTTAGCCAAGTGTTCTGCATGCTTTTACAGGACAGAGTCTCAAGGCTTTTTTCTCTTCCTCTTTCTCCTCCATCTTCTCTTCCTTTTTCCTTCTCCTCCTCCTTCTTCCTTCTCCTTTTTCTTCTTTATCTTCATTGTAGAGCTCAAACATTCATTAAGAACCTAATTCTGGGTAATATGGTTAATGCTAAACAGTCTAAATTCCTGTCTAATCTGTCGATGATTATAACCTACAGTAGACACTAAAAGCTCAGGTATGGGCACAAACTTATAGAAATTACAGAAAGTTGAAACCAACTGATGTCAGCCAGCATGAGGAGCTCATTTGAAAAGTAGGTGTGTGATTGGCATATCCAAAGGAGATATGTAAGTGTGAGAAGGTACCTCGAGGAACAGGAGGTAGATTGCCTTTCTTTCGGTGTTCCAGGGGACCGTGACAGCAAAGCTCACCTTTGCTGAGTCCTGGTGGTCAGGGAGAGTGGTGGGATGGGGGTACTGGGCTCCCTGTGTGCTCGGCTTTAAGGAGAGGAGGAATGACTTGACAGGTGTGCTTTGACTAGCTGCACCTGAGATGGGTGGAAAGAGCAGACCATGGAAAGATCCCAGGTTTGACACTCAGGCCTTGAACTGTTACCTGTTCAAGCTCAGGTGACATCTGGAACAACAGCAATTCTTAACCTCAGCTTATTCATCTATAAAATGGGAAGAATGATACCTATTTTGCCTGTTGTATTTGAGATCTCGGGCATGTACCACAAGAAATGGTTCCTGTTATCTGAGCACATAAGCAACTAAGTAACAACAGCTGGAGGACCCACATGAAAAATTCTGGAAGCTTGGATGTCAGCATTTCCTAAGGATGGCATGGTCCCGGGTTAAAATATAGTTTTTTTTTTTTCTTTTTCTCTCCTATAAATAGATCCACAATCTAAAGAAGACGAAACTGTGCTTTTTATTTTTAAACTCTCAAAACCCTGTTTTAAAACAAGTTAATGAGACGGTTTCTGTCACAGGCAGAAAAATCCATCTTGTTTCACGCTAGCTTTTGAGCAATGCCTGTGGAGGCCAGAGCCCTCTGCAGCTGTGGGTTAGCTTAAAGCCCTTGACACTCTATCTCTGCATATTGTCTGCTCTGCGGGACCACAGCTTCCCTTTGTAAGTTTCCACATGTTTCCACTGTAGCTGCAGGCTGCCTGGGCTGCAAGGGAGAGGCCTGGACCCACAGGACTCTTTCTGCGTGCCCAGGGAGGAGCTGAGTTCTGTTCTGCCCCAGGGCATCCAGAGCTGGCACATTGCGATTCTGACATGCTCCGAAGCAGGTTACCAGGTGCCTTGTGCAGAGTGTGGGCAGAACCGTTGAAAGCTGCACGATCTCTGATTGAGAAAACCCATGGGCTAGATGTCCTCACACAACTCCAAGAAGCAATTTACTTCCTGTCTCTTCTCATCTTGTGCACCAGGAGACAGTGAGGAGTGGTAGAAGAAAGTCATCAGAAGACCTGAATTCTGGTCCTGGCTCTGGCCTGTGTAATCGTGTGTTCCTACTAAGCTGTTTGTTTTGTTTTGTTTTTTAAATCAGTAAATGATGAAAGTGGACAAGGGTCCCCCTACATTGAAATGCCTGGACCTTAAACTCTAAGGGTACCTAGAACCTCGTTCACATTCCGCCCCCCGCCCCCCCACATGCCCAGTACACATGCTCAGGCCTCTGATTTTTGTGTCCCTGCTCCCCTGACTGTTCCACAGCCTGGCTGTTTGCCACCCACTTTCTGTGTGGGGCAGAGGATACTGAGAGCTTGTGCTCAGGAAGGAAGTGAGAGAAGTCAGAGCCTGTTGCAAACCCTTGGCTGCTTTGGAAGGGCGGGGAGGATGGGCAACAGAAAGTTTGCATTTATTTCTGTTTGCCTGGTGGAAATTGAGACCAGGTTGCTGGGAGTTACAGACCATCCAAAGGATATTATTTCTAGGACAGGAGTCAGGGGCTCCACTCCCTGAAAGTTTCACTGCTCTGCTTCAGGACTTCCACATGAAACCTTTCAACACTGAGTGCTTAGTTAACGTTCAGCACTGTTTCCCAGCCACTGGCCTTCCTGTCCAACTGGCTAGGCTGCTAAAAGTGGCTCATTGTGTTTTGGGGAAGCAGATTTAATGAAATCCGTGTTCTCATTCTCACACTGGAACCACACATCTCTGGCCTACGAAGGGGTGAAGAAGCTGAAAGGAAAGCTGGATCAACACATGGACAATGGAGAAATGGGCTATGAGGGATATCGTAAGAAAAATCTTATCCATGTGGCACCTTCACTACCTGGATATTCCAGATGAAATTTCAGAATGGCTTGCTTTCTTGAATATAGTCAAAGAGATTCTGTGATCCATAGCATTTCTCTGCCTGGTGCCCAGTGACATGCTCAATGAAGGTAAAAATGCAGAGTGAGGCCCGTGAAGTTTTTTTTTTTTTTTTTTTTTTACGGTTTTCTAGAATTGACTGCCATCCATAGCACTTAGCATGTGCAATGGCAGATGGAGCCATATATTCCCCAGGGGAGTGAGGACGAATGCAGAGATTTCTTTCTTTCTCCAGTGCATCTCTTACCAAGACAGAGGAAGGATGATGGAATTTGATGCTTTGGCTTATCACTGTGTAGGACTGAATCCAGCCAGACTTGCTCCTATTAGAGAAGTGAACTCAGATGGTTCCTTTAATGAGGCAGGAAAGGGAAATTCCATTTTCTGCCTGAGCTCAATTCAGCCTGTCCGCAGCCTGAGGTGTCCGGAGGCTGAGCCGACGACTGACTTGGATACTGGAGGAGCCACGTCAGCAGATCTGGAGGCTCAGCCTTAGCTTGGAAACAGATGCCACTAAAGCAGAATAGAATCCCCTCTGAACAAGCTGCCACTGTAGCTCACATGGCCACCATCTGCTGTAGTAATATCCCCACTATGACATGCTTCCTGCCTCTTCTGGCTACCATCCTACATGAGTAGTCACACTTGATTTAGGGGACTGGAGGTTATAAATAATGGCTTTAGCATCCCAGCTCAAGACAGGAACAAAATTCTTCACTCTTGGATTGGTCCCAACAAAGGGAGAAGTAGGTGGTTGCCCTTGAGTGCCCTCCTATTCCTTCTCCTTTCGCCTTCTCATCAGTTCTCTTTTCCCAATTTCTCGAGGCATCTGGAGAACTCTTGCCTTGGCAGCTGCATCTGATGGACCAGCTCAGAGGAAGGAGTGTCTGCTTCCCAATTCGTGGAATATTCAGTTTGAAAGAGAGCCTCGGGAAGGAGCAGTCTTGTTTCAGAAGAATCATCTCTTTAAAAAAAAAAAAAAAAAAAAAAAAAAATATATATATATATATATATATATATATATATATATATATATATATAGATTTTTTTAGATGAAGAAAAAGGGATAGAGAGTTAGAAACATCAATCAGCTGCCTCTTGCACACTCCCTACTGGGATGTGCCTGCAACCAATGTACATGCCCTTGACTGGTATCGAACCTAGGACCTTTCAATCTGCAGGCCGACGCTCTATCCACTGAGCCAAACAGGTTTCGGCAAGAATTGACTCTTGAATGGTGGCTTAGCAGGTGCCCAACTTGCTTATCCTGGGCCAGTGTAACATTTTGCACAGGTGGCTTCTAGAGGCTCATCCATGCTTGTATCTCTCTATCCCTTTCCCATACTCTCTTTCTAAAAAATTAATAAAAACAAAAAATAAAGCACTTCACATGCAATCAACAGGAAGCTCAAGAACCTTGTTGTAAAGAATGAGAAAGAATATGCCATCCAGGCATAGGTGAAAGTGAGGGGCAGGTGAGTGTGGGATGCAGGAAAATAAGACACAGAGAGGCTAAAGTTGGCACTGTCCATTCAAGCTCTCTCCTAGGAAGTTGGAGGGCTCCGATTTTCCCCGACTTGATGCATTGCCTCCTAGAGGCAAGTGTCTTCCTGGTGTGGTGATGAATGAACTGCAGTCATATAAGCAGAATGGTCCAAATAGTTCCGAGACCAGATTCACTAAATGGACTTCTATTTTCAGTCTGTATTTCCACATTGTATTAATAATCAGAGAGTTTGGGCTGACCAGAAGGACATATATGAATATCCTGAATACTGTATGACTCCATGTACATGATAGATATGTTGGCTTTCTTGTTTATCCCTCAATCTCCCATGAGCTTAGAGTCCTCATGATCTGTATTCATTCAAGAGTGTGGACACCATGAACTATCATTACCTACGAAGGAGACAACTTGGCCTTGCCTAGGGAAGAAAGCCCTGGAAGTTTGCAGGGTCATGTGGCCTTAAACCTGGCAGCTTTCCTGGTGACACTTTGAACCTGACCACATCTTCTTTCAATGTTCTTTGAATGTAATCAGGGCAATTATTTATATACAGTGTAATTGAACTACATTTCCTCC